ATCCTCCTCCCACCTCAGCCTCCCAACTAGCTGGAACTATACGCATCACCATCACACTTGGCTAATTTTTTTATTTGTTTGTAGAGATGGGGTCTCACTATGTTGCCCAGGCTAGTCTCAAATTCCTGAGCTCAAGCAATCCTCCCACCTGGGCCTCCCCAAGTGCTGGGATTACAGGTGTGAGACACTGTGCCTGGCCTCTTTGTTTTTAGCTTTACAGATTAGCAGAGGTATCAAATAAATAGAGCCAGGGCCACACAGTTTCATTATTTTAAATTATTTCAATGAAACAAGAAACACTGCCCTCAGAAACAAGAATCCTGTATCATTCTATAACATTACAATGCCTCTGGGACTCCAGTTGCCCAATATATACAATGGAGATAGCAATTAATGTACTGGCTAACAGGCCTGAGTCCAGGTCAGGTTATTAAAATTCTCTTCTAGCTCTAAAATTGACAAGGGCAAGAAGACAAGTAACATTTGCCATTTTATCCACTAGGCACAGAGCTAAAACAAACTTCACTATCAGTTAACACAAAAAGAAAGAAACTCAAGGCTTCAGTGATTTGTCCAAGATCAAACAGTTCACAAGGGATAAAAGCAAGGGTTTGATGCCAGGTCCAGTGGATTTCAAAGCCTGGGTTCTTTACAGACAGTGACTCACAAGGTTCCACAGGATAATAAGGAAATGCTAAAACAACTACAAAGAAGCTGAGTTTTGCTTAAAGATTTGACTGTTTTCCTCAACACTCTTTCCAAACTCTCTATTGGAAAGTACCTTTCAATAATTTTTTTTTCTTAACGCAAGTGATTTTTGCTGGTAATTAATACCAAATTAGTACAAAATCCAGCAACATAAGCTTTCAATAAACAGAGTTTTGTAATTTTTTGGTTATATTTTATTATTTCCAAACTCGAATTCCTAGCTCATGAGACAGCACTTGCCATTTTATATTAAAAGGCAAAGTATGAAATATTAACTGTTTCCAATGCAATGTAAGGATCCAATACTTTCCCATATTCCACCTACTCACCTATTTTGTGAGACATATTATGTGACTTTGTGCAAGATAATCTTTCCACATCTTAATTCTCCTACCCATAAAGCAAAGAGAGTAGACTACAAATAACCTCAATGATTCTGTGTAGAAAGTGAAACTCTACAGGTAATTATTCACTGAAGTAAACTGTTAGCAGTTTAGATGTCTCACAAACAGCTCAAACTTAACACAAAGAGCTTTCTACTTTCATCACCAATATGAATCTCCCTAATTTTTCCCATCTCAGTAAATAGCACACCCTCTCCAACCACCCAGTGGTTCAAGCTGGAGAAACAGGAAGTCATGAATGATTCCACCCTCTCATTCTCTAACCACTTCCAATCTATCACAAGGCCAGTGGCTTCCATCTCCCAAATACATCTCAAATCCATCCAAATCTCTCCATCTGCCAAAACCACAAGCCACCGTCATCTCCTGCCTGGCCAGCTATATTACTGGCCTCCCTGTGTCCACTCTGGTCACTTCCAACACATTAATCCCAGCAGTGGGCTTTTAAAAATGTACATGCAATTACGTCTCACCTTTCTGGCATACATCTTACTAAATAAACCCTTCAGAAACTTCTTATTTAGAAAATCAAACTCATAGTAGGCCTTGAAGACACCTCACCACCTGCCCCGACCCACTTCTTCAGCACTTTGCTTGGCTCCTCACCAAATTCCGGGGCTTTTTCTAATCCTTAAAGCTACCAAACCCCTAACACCATTTACTGCTCTCCTCTTAGCCTACAAAGCAATGTCCCATCATTCTCCAGATTTCAACCTAACAATCACTTCCCTGGGCCAGGCGCAGTGGCTCTTGCCAGTAATCCCAGCACTTTGGGAGGCCAAGGCAGGTAGATTACCTGAGGTGAGGAGTTTGAGACCAGCCTGGCCAACTTGGCAAAACACCGTCTTTACCAAAAATACAAAAATTAGCCGGGCATGGTGGCGGGCACCTGTAATCCCAGCTACTCAGGAAGCTTAGGCAGGAGAATCGCTTGAACCTGGGATGCAGAGATTGCAGCGAGAGGAGGTTGCACCATTGCACTCCAGCCTGGGCAAAAGAGCAAGACTCTGGCTCAAAAAAATAAAAATAACTTCCCTATTCCAAAGTATTCCCCTGGTGTTCTTTCAGAGCAACTTGGCTGTTTGTTTTTTTCTTCGTAGGACTCCTCACAATTTGTCATCTAAATATTTATCATTGCACCTGTTTATTGTCAATCAAGCCAAAAAGCCTGTAAATAAACCCTTCTGAAACTTATTTAGAAATCCTGACGGCAGAGGCTGTGTTGTTTTCTTCACACTTGCATACCTGCATCTAGAACACTACCTAAAAATAACCCTTCATAATACCTAGGTGATGGGTGGATAGGTGCAGCAAATTACCACATATTTACCTGTGTAAACCTGCATATTCTGCACATGTACCCAGGAACTTAAAATAAAATTTTAAAGTAAGTCCTCTAATATCTGATGACACGTGAAACAACGTTGCAAGGTTGATTTCTCAACCACCCATGTCAACACCACGGATAGATCCTCTAACCTTACTGCATGTCATAAGGACGTCTAATCTTTACAACCATGCATTGCAATAGACATTAGTTAGCACGTTTTGTAGACGAGGAAACTGAGTTTCTCAGTGGGTAACGTACCATAGTTCCATCGCAGGTAGACTGGTGCACCGCCGCCCTATAATGCAAAACCACACTCACTGAGGGAAGATTCAGTAAGAGATTCCCTGTAACCTGATGGCTTTGAATGTTCTGAAATGGGATTGGCTGCCTCAAAAACACCGTTACATTCTGTTAAAATTGCTACAAAGGCTGTTTAGGAGATAAAATCTAAGCTAATGAAATCCCAAAGCTGTCAATAATGCTGATAAAGCATCAACAATGCTCACAGTTTTGCAGCATGCAATTCATGGGCCGTACACAACCTTTAACAAGATAATTTTCTTACCCCATTTCACTTTACTACCTCTTACCTAGTTAAGCAAACTACCTCTTCTACAGTTACACTACCTCTTAACGTAGTTAAGGCAAATAGTATTACTTCATATCAGCTGTGTAGATCCGCACCTACACACGAGCTTTCCGGCAGGTGAACACTATCATATTATTAAAAACAAAATTAAAAAATAAAAAACCTCCTATTTAACAAAATTCTACACATTTTAAAGTGTATTTTGAAAGAAAGGAGTCCCTTAAACTGGCTTCCCCGTACTCAATTTAGTAGAACACGCATTTCAATTTCCTAACGCTGGAGATTAGAGAATTATAAGCTGCATATTAAAAGCATTTGTAAAAGGGTATCTTCTCAGCTCAGTGGTAACAAACACTGGCAGAAGTCTTGGGCGAAACGCCAGACACTGAGGTCGTTACAGTTGGGAAGCAGCGAGCCCAGCAGCAGGGATTTCAGGTACCCGGTATCCAGGGTTCTGGGGTCCGGGGGGCAGGGGGCCGGGGGCCGCGGAGTGCCAGGAGGACCCGGCAGCTGTGGCCACCCGAGGCCCAGGCCGCCCCGCTGTCCCACTCGCCGCGGCCCGGACGCTTTTGCGAGGCCAGGTCTGGGGCGTCCCCGCCGGTGGCCGGGTCAGCGAGCCCTGCCACTCAAACCATCCGACGAGGCAGACAGCTCTACTCACCTCAGCGCCGGCAGAGCCAGCGCTCCGGAGCGCAAGCGGCGCTGGAAGGCAAGCCGGAGACGGCGGGCGGGCGGGCGGGGCAGGGAGCCGGGCGGGGGCGGGGCGGAGCGCCGGGCGGCGGGGGTGGCGGGGCGGGGCCCCCGGGGGCGGAGCGGAACCCGCGCTACAGGGAACTGGGGAAGAGAGAGCGGGAGAGGATTACGGAACCTCGCGATAATCTCCGGCGTTCTCGCAGTTTCACGATAGGTGCGGCGAAACGCTCGTTTGCCAATCGATGTGTCTATTGGCCGGGAGAGCGACTTCCTCTACGCTGGCCCCGCCCACCGCTCTACTCTTGCTTCCGGCTCCGGCGTGTGGGTTTTCTGTCAACGGAGCGGCTTTTATTTTAGCGGGTTGAAGGCGTAATTTCGCCGGCTCCAACCTCGGGAACTGCCAGTTACGGACCTTTTCCTTCATACATTCATTCAGTCACTCGGCCTCTCATTCGATGGCACACGTTGAGGGATTACAACAATGACATCCCACCTTGAGCGTTCATTCTAAGAGCTGTTTGTAGATTATCTCGTTGAACCCTTCACAGCAATCCCATGACACAGGGAGTAACAGTGCCAGTCTGACGGATGAAAAACTGAGGCCAGTGGGTTTCTGTAACGAAGCCAACGTTAGTTAGCAAGCAGTGAGCCTGTGCACTGGATTTAAGGGATCACTGCGCACTGCTAGATACCAAAGATGAGGAGGCAACCTAGTCTCTGCGCTTCAAACACCCATTGTGAGAAAAGATTCCTAAAAAGGACAATAACAATTTAGTAAGTTAAATACAATGGCAGTTCCTAGCATGACTGAGTAGGCCGTCGATATGTGTTTCTTCAAGACGAAAATTCCTATGTCAGCGAAATAGCATCAGCGAAAGAGAGCTTTATGCTGGTAAAAATACTTCCAAGCATTGTTCGGAAACACTTTGAAAAGGCACCGTTTGCTATTTTTTGTTCTGTGAAAAGCCTATTTGCGAGGCTCCTTGTCAAGGAACCTTTACTTTATCAGGTGGTTTTACAGTGGTTGACTTAATTACTCATAGAGATGAATAACCTAGAAAGCAGAGTTAGATTAAAAAAAAAAAAAAGCATAGGTTTCAAAACAAGGTATGAGTTGTAATAAAATATGTATCAGTTATCTATTAAATCTGGTCTTCAAGAGCGACTCAGGTATACAGCATGGTATATGTCATGTATTTCTAAGATAGTTTCGTAATACCTAAGAATTCGTGGCACTCAGAAATTTTTTGCTGGACTTAAAATGAGGAAATTCACATTTTGTGTAAAAACAAAGATACTTAGGGTATTTAACGGTCAGCCCAAATAATAAGATTTGCTGTTAATATATGAAGCTTTACCCCCCAAAAAAGAAAAAAGATTAACAACAGGCAGAACGATTTTTTTCAAAGTAATGTTAGCCTCTTAGTTTTCATTTTTACTTTTTAAGGGGAATACTGTTTTTCAGTGCATTAATTTAATATCTGGTATTTGACCATGAAAAATGAATCATTTTAAAATAACTTTCACCTCCTCCCCAAATTGACACAAAAGTTGCCGACTGATGATATGTTACAGTATCCTATGACTCCACTCCTGGAAGTTCTCCCAATTTGTAGAGAATCAGTTTGCACATTTTTTTCTCTCTTAAAAACAAAGGGGAAAATATCCTCTAAGCTGGTGATTTTACATTCTTTGACAAACTGCAGTATCAACAGGCAGCGATACCACTTTAAGAAAATGCCAAGGAAAGACCTCATTTTAAAATTCCCACCTCTGGCTCCCAAGGATTGGGTTGCAAACTTCGGCAAAATACTCTTCTCCACTCGCTATTGGTGAGTGCTCTATCATTCATCTTTTGCCTGGAATTTTATGAGGTATCCACTTGCTTTACGGGAAAAGGCTGCTCCGGAACGGCCCTATTTTAGGCTTTTCATGGTTATCAGTCTGTACAAAGAATCACCAAATAGAAAGCAGGAACCAAATGGCAAATCACGCTGCCAAGACAACTGTCTAATTCGCTCGAAAAAGAAATGGTAAGCCTCTCCAGCAGACTGGGTTAAACTGGCAAAGGATTTTACGACATAGTTGGAGATGAGAGAGTTACGGAAACTTTTTCGGTTTTTTACTAGTTTTAAAGGAGTGATTGTCAAGGAAAAGCAGAGAAAATATATGCGCAATTTAAAGGTAGCAGGGAGAAGAGTGTTCAGAGAGCATTTTTCTCTTTAGGGTGTTTGGAAAGCATCATGGCCCAGATTATCAGTGGATTTTTGAAAGGTAAAGGAAACAAGATAATAAGATCATTTTCTATTTTAACAAACTGCGGTATTGTTGCTTAAATGTGAATTTAGAAGGACATTTAGTAATATTGTAATTTTTAAATGCGTATTTTCATTTGTATATTATCATACTTGGCATAATAGATAATACATCTATTAAAAGATACAAGAGAAAACAGAGTTGTTTGAACGCAAATTTTGTGTATATTCGTAGATTAGGGAATCCAGGGACAGATCTGCTAACGGCTAAACAACATACTATAGATACCTGAAGCAGAATCAGCATGTAAGGATAAATTCTCAAAAAAGGAATTCAGCGTCATATTTTCAAAAATTACATTTTAAATGAAAGCAAATATAAAAGAATTTATCAAGAAAACATTGATAAACATGAATAGCTATTTCCTGTGTTGCTTCTTTAATCCATATACGGGAATATAAATTAGTAAAATACAGCTCCTCAAGAACAGGGACAAATGAGGATCAAAACATGTCTTAATGCCCAGATGACTGCTGTAAACCACAGGTACTTCAGGAGCTCAGCTCAATGTGAGATGAATTATTCAGGAAAGGCTTCACAGTATGGGTAAGACCCACTTTGGGCCTGAGCAATGAGCACAATTTCAAAGAGAAAAGGGAAGTGGCATCCCCAATAGTGAGTGAGTTGTTAGCAAATATGTGCAGCCTGAGGAAGAGTTGGCTCTGACTGCAGCGGAAGGTTCATTTGGAAACTTTGGTTAAAAATTTTAAGAAAGCCTGGGAAGTTACCTGAAGAGCCAAAATTCCCATAATTAAGGATTTTGGTTGTATGTTTGGAACAGGAGGCACACTTGATGGAAGTAATATTTGAAGACGATAAAACTGACAGTGCAATTTAAGACGGTTCCAAGGGCAGAGAGCGGAAGCTAAGGGGCCCCATACTGTAAATACTGGCACACAGGTTAGTAACTTTGCTTCTTACCTAAATACTTTACCTTACCATTGTTGAGTAATATGAATTTTGATGCATTCCTTTGTAGTTTTTGAAAGCATTTTTACTTCTTAAGATTTTGGAAGGCCCCTGCCATATTGTCTTGGGGAATCATGGTTGCCCCATCTTTATAAAAGTCTTGTCATAAGATGTATAAAAATCAGAATTACACATAAAACTGCATTGTGGTTTTATAGCTATTTTTGACAGCTTTCATGAAGTATAATTTATATATTATAAAGTTCATTTGTTTTAATGGTATAACTCAATGATTGTTTTAGAAAATGTAATAGAGTTGTACAACCATCATCACATGCCAATTTTAGAAAATTTTTGTCATCCTGAAAAAATACTTTGTGCTCATTTGCAGACAAGTCCTGGCTTCCTGTCCTTAGCTCCAATCACTAAACAACTTTCTGTCTCTATATGTTTATCTTTTCTGGGCACATAAATGGAATTAGACAATATGTGATCTTTTGCATCTGGTTTCTTTTACTTAGCATAATGTTTTTGAGGTTGTATCCCATGTTGTATTATGTATCATTACTTCATTCCTTTTTATTGGTAAATAATAATCCACTGTATGGCAATACCACATTTTATTTATCCGTGTACCAGTTGACAGACATTTGGATTTCTTCCAGTATTTAAATATAGTGTTTAATGGTACTAATTGTAATTGTAATACAGCAAACACAGGAGAGTATTTAGCTATTATAAATACTGCTGTATGAAGATGGGTACAAGTTTTTTATGAACACGTGTTTTCAGTTTCCTTGGGTGTATACCTAGGAGTGAGATTACTGTCAGATGGTAACTCTGTGTTCAACTTTTCGAGATGTTGCACAACTGCTTTCCAAGGTGAATTCACCATTTTACATTTCCACCAGAGTGTTTGAGGGTTCCAACATCCTCGCCAACACTTCTTATGATCTGTCTTATTCATTATAGTCATTCTGCTGGATTTTAAGTGGTATCTTACAGCTTTCTTTTGCATTTTCCTAATGATGGATGATAGGAAGCATCTTTTCATGTGCTTAGTGACTATCCATATATCTTCTTTTGTAAAATGTCTATTCAAATATTTTGCTTATTTTTTAATTGGGTTGCTGTCTTGTTACTGATTTTTTTTTTTTTTTTTTNCAGAGTCTCACTCTGTTGCCTGGGCTGGAGTACAGTGGCGCAGTCTCTGCTCACTGAAATCTCTGCCTCCCCGGTTCAAGAGATTCTCCTTCCTCAGCCTCCCGAGTAGCTGGGATCACAGGTGCCCACCACCATGCCTGGCTATTTTTTTGTGTTTTTAGTAGAGATGGCGTTTCACTGTGTTGGCCAGGCTGGTCTCAAACTCCTGATCCAGTGATCCGCCCACCTCAGCCTCCCAAAGTGCTGGAATTACAGGCATGAGCCACCACACCTGGCCCTTGTTACTGATTTTTAATTGTTCTTTATATATTCCCAGTTAAAGTCCTTTATCAGATTAATGATTTACAAATGTTGTCTCCCATTCTGTGGACTGTCTTTTAACTTTAATAATAATGTCTATTGAAGCAACAAAGGTTTGGCTTTGATGAAATCTAATTTATCTTTTTTTTTTTCTTTTATCACTTGTGGTTTTGGTGTTGTATCTCAGAAGTCTTTGCCTAACAGGCCAGGCCCGGTGGCTAATACCTGTAATCCCAGTATTTTGGGAGGCCAAGGTGGGCGGATCACCTGAGGTCAGAAGCTTGAGGCCAGCCTGGCCAACATGGTGAAACCCCATCTCTACTAAAAATACAAAAATTAGCCGGGCATGGTGCTGGCTACCTGTAATCCCAGCTACTCAGGAGGCTGAGCCAGGAGAATGGCTTCAACCCGGGAAGCAGAGGTTGCAGTGAGCTGAGATCATGCCACTGCACTCCAGCCTGAACGACAAAGCAAGACTCAATCTCAAAAAAAAAAAAAAAAAAAAAAAAAAACCACACACACAAGTTCATGAAGATTTACTCCTGTGTTTGCTAAGAGTTTTATAGTTTTGCCTCTTACTGTTAGGTCTCTAATCCATTTGGAGTTAATGTTTATATATGGTATGAGGTGTAGAGATCCCACTTTATTCTTTTGCATGTGTCCAGTTGTTCCAGCACTGTTTATTGAAAAGACTGTCTTCCCACTGAATTATCTTGGTGTGCTTGTTAAAAAAAATTCATACATGTAAGAGTTTATTTTTGGACTCTCAACACTATCCCATTTTTCTATGTATCAATTTTTTTTTTGTTTGTTTGAGACAGCCTTGTTCCCTCACCCAGGCTGGAAAACAGTGGTGCAACCTTGGCTCACTGCAACCTCCTGGTTCAAGCAATTTTCCTGCCTCAGCTTCTTGAGTAACTGGAATTACAGGCACTCGCAATCACTCCCGGCTAAATTTTTTGTATTTCAAGGAGAGACGGGGTTTTGCCATGTTGGTCGGTCTGGTCTTGAACTCCTGACCTCAAGTGATCTGCCTGCCTCGGCCTCCCAAAGTGCTGGGATTACAGGCATGAGCCACTGCACCCGGCCTCTGTATGTCATTTCTTATGCCAGTACCACCATGTTGTTTTTGGGAGGGCTTTTCCCCAGCTTTATTGAAATATGATTGACAAACGAAAAATTATATATATTTGAGGTAAACATCATGGTGTTTTGATGTAAGTGTACCTTTTGTAATGCTTCCCACAATAAAGCTAGTTCGCACATTCATCACCTGACATAATTACCATTTGTGTGTGTGATGAGTACACCTAAGATCTAGTCCCTTAGCAAATTTCAATTATTAATTATAGTTACCATGCTGTATATTATATCTCTAAAACTTATTTACCTTATAACTGAAAATTTATAGGTACAACACTTTTGATTACTTCACTTTTACTTTAGTTTTATAGTAAATTTTAAAAATGGGAAGTATGAGTCCTTCAACTTTCTTCTTTTTTAAGATTATTTTACTTATTCTTGGTCTCATATTTCCATCTTAATTGATCCATAATAAGGATCAACTTGTTAATTTCTGCAAAAAAGCAGCTGAGATTTTCATGGATATTACATTAAATCTATAGATCAATTTGAGGAATATTCTGTCTTAATATTGAGGCTTCTAATCCATGAACATGGAATATTTCTCCATTTATTTAGATCTTTAACTTCTTTCAATAATGTAGTGTGATTTTCATTGTACAAGTCTTGTATTTATTTTGTTAAATTTAATCCTACATATTTTATTCTCTTTTATGCTATTTTAAATCAAAATGTTTTCTTAATTTTATTTTCAGATTATTTATTGCTAACATATAAAAATATAATTTTATTTATGTATTTTTTAATCCTATGACCTTGCTGAACTTACTTAGTAGTTCTAGTCGGGGGGTTATTTATTTATTGTGGAATCCTTAGGATTTTCTACATAGAGGGTCATGTCATCTGATAATAATGTTTTATTTCTCCCCTTCTAATCTGCATGCCTCAATTTATTGTTCTTTCCTATTGCTCTGACTGTAATATCCATTACAACCTTGACTACAGGTCATGAGAACCATCATTCTTGCCTTGTTTCCAAGCTTAGAAGGAAAACATTCAAACATGCTTCATTAAGTATGATATTAGCTTTAGGTTTTTGTAAATCAGGTTTTTTTGGTTTTGTTTTATAATTTTTAATTTTCGTAAGTACATAGTAGTAGATGTGTATGTTTATGAGATATATGTGATGTTTTGATACAGGCATACAATGTATAATAATCACATCAGAGTAATTGCGTATCTGTCTTCTCAAGCACTCATGATTTCTTTGTGTTAGGATGATTTCGATTCTACTCTTTTAGTTATTTTAAAATATACAGTAACTTGTTGTTTGTCTGTAGTCACTCTGTTGTGCTATCAAGTACTAGATCTTACTCATTCTTTCTAACTAAGTTTTGTGCCTATTAACTATCCCCACTTTTGCCTCCCTCCCCACTACCGTTCCCAGCCTCTGGTAATCATCATTCTACTCTGTCTTCATGAATTCAGCTATTTTAATTTTTAACTCTCATAAATGAGTGAGAACCTTGGTTCCCACTCACTGGTTTATTTTGCTTAGCGTAATATCCTTCAGTTTCATCCATGTTGTTGTAAATGACAGGATTCTGTTTTGTGTGTATATCTACCACATTTTTTAATCTATTCATGTGTTGTTGAATATTTATGGCTATTGTGAATAGTGCTGCAATACACATGAGAGTGCATTGTTGACAAGTGTTCTGAGCTTTTAAAGGACTTCAGAAACCCCAAAGTCTACATCTTTATATGAAACTCCTAATTTTAAAATGATGGCTCAATTTTTTTAAACTGTCAAAAAAAAAAGTATATACACGTTAGATGAGCCTATGAGCACTCAGAATAAATATAACCTCTCTTTTAAGGATGCAGTATTAAGAGCCAGCATGAGACAAATCACTTTTTACAGTTAAGCCAGAAAAAAAAAAAAAATTAAATCCACTTTGAAGTTAACAGTAGGTTCAGAGGCCCAGAATAACAAATACTATAAGGCCTATTGCTTTTGTTGTCTTTGAACTTTCTTTTCTGCCTCCCCGTAAATAGAAGATAAGAAAATATAGTTAAATCTGTTGAAGATGTTACATTCCTGTTTATAAAAATGTGTGATCACTTTCTAAAATACAGGCTTAGGTTTCCAAAGCAACGGCATTTCCTTCCCACTGCTGTAGACTGGTCAATGAAAGACAGGATGATATGATGGGAAACCACCAAATTATTAGAAGACCAGGGTCCTAAGTCTGGCTGTTTGATGTGCAACTGATTTAACTTCATTTCATTGTCTTCATTTATAAAATGGAGATGATAATATCTACTTCTTTACCTTATATGTTTGAAAGGGCCACATGAGATAAAATATGGGAAAGTATAAAGTGCTATGTATATATTAGTTGATATTGCCCAAATCACATGGATAGTTGGGATGGTACATG